CAAACATTTCTCAAATTCAGAGCCAATCTCAACTTCACAACGAAGGATATTGGACTCCAGACAACGCAAGTTCAACTTCACGATGAAGGGACCGTTGGTTGTCAACAAATATTTCTCAAATTCAGAGCCAATTTCAACTTCACAACGAAGGATATTGGACTCCAGACAACGCAAGTTCAACTTCACGACGAAGGGACCGCTGGTTGTCAACAAACATTTCTCAAATTCAGAGCCAATTTCAACTTCACAACGAAGGATATTGGACTCCAGACAATGCAAGTTCAACTTCACGACGAAGGGACCGCTGGTTGTCAACAAACATTTCTCAATTTCAGAGCCAATTTCAACTTCACAACGAAGGATATTGGACTCCAGACAACGCAAGTTCAACTTCACGACGAAGGGACCGCTGGTTGTCAACAAACATTTCTCAAATTCAGAGTCAATTTCAACTTCACAACGAAGGATATTGGACTCCAGACAACGCAAGTTCAACTTCACGATGAAGGGACCGCTGGTTGTCAACAAACATTTCTCAAATTCAGAGCCAATTTCAACTTCACAACGAAGGATATTGGACTCCAGACAACGCAAGTTCAACTTCACGACGAAGGGATCGCTGGTTGTCAACAAACATTTCTCAATTTCAGAGCCAATTTCAACTTCACAACGAAGGATATTGGACTCGGAACAATACTTGGATTTCAACTTCACGACGAAGGATATCCAATTCTCAGGCTCAGCTTCACAACGGAGGGGCCATATACAATTCCAACTTCACAAACAGATGGACCCAACTTCATGACGAGGGAGTCATCTCATATTTCAGTTTGATATATTAGTCGTAACATCGAATTTCAAGTCTACGACGGAGGACATTCGATATAGACGAGAAGTGTGTCTTTTAATCTTTTCCCTATCCCCGTTACACGACTAGGGGCAAAGAGGGGCAGCTGTAGACACACTATTTTTATATATATATTACATATATATATAAATTATTTTCGTTTTATTAAAACAACATTTACATTTGTTTTCAGGCCCAACAATGGCCCAACAGGCTCGTGACCCAGCAAGCAAAGGTTTCTAGGAACCCTAGCAAGTTCCAGCCAACGCCGTAACTGTCCCCATGCGAGAGTCCCGTGTCCCACGTCTCACCGGCACTCATTCCCGGTTATCTCGGCGCCTTGAACTTCTCAATGTCAAACAACCACCAGCACACGAAGCCAACCGCCAACAACAAGCAAGGCAACGTGTTAGTTTAGGACTTCAACAACCAAACCGAGTTTTACTCGGATTAAAACTCTAAGTAGGCCTGTATAAATACATGTAACGAGAACACTCACAGGGATCTTTTTTTTTTCTTGGACACTGGACGAACACCCGAGATCATCACGACAGCCCGCACATACAAACATTACGAGTGTTCATTAGTGAAATACGAGTAAAGTAACTTCGGAGATCGACATTTTGTAATCGTTTCGTAGCAAAATAAAGGGTAAAAGTTTCGTACCTTTCTTGTTTACTTTGTATGTATGTATTTCCTTCACTCTGGTTTGATTCTAAACAACAAAAAACGTTTTGGCCGAGGACCAAGGGGGTTGCTTTCGAAGCTATTTTGCTAGATCTACGCGACCCGAGGCCCGTTTTAAAAAACTAGTTGGATTTTTGTAACCTACGCAAGAAGACCTTTCAAAAAAATAAAAGCTTTTTCATTTTCGCCGCTGATGACCGCGGCCAGCGCCGTTCGCGATGGCCGACGAGGCGGCATGCGGTGGTCGGATACTGGGTTCTTGAAGAACCACGGTGGCCTGTTCTTGAAACTCAAGAACAAACCAGAGAAAAGGGAGAGAAGAAGAGAGGGTTGTTCAGCGAGAGAGATGAAAAATGAAGGTTTAAAAAAAATTTAACATTTATATTAACCAGTTAACCCGCGTGTAGACCCGACCCAATCTTCTGACCTGCGTATTTTTACGAAGTAAAGGGTAAACTACCCTTTTGGTCCCCTGCTGTGTTAAAAGGCCCCATTGGCATCCCTAAATTCATTTTAATATTGGCCCGTAATTTTTATTTTATTTGAATTTGGACACCTAACTCTTTTTTCTTATTTAATCCGACCCTTATTTCTATTTGTATATATTTTTATTTGTTACGTAATTATTTTTTAATATTATGTATATATATATTTTTCATTTAATTTTATATATTTTTACTATTATATTTATTCTCTATTTTTATTGATATTCGTCGTTGTATATATATATTTTATTACTATTATTATTATATATATATTATACTCACATTAATTATATCTACCTATCCCCCCACCATTTTTTTCTTCATTTTCATGCACTGCTCTACTTTGATTAATTAATAGATTAGGTTTGACGTTTTTAACTTTATGTTATCATTATTTATTCTTTTTCGTCTTAGCATTTATTTATCATTCTTTCACTATGGTTTTCACCCGTTTCATTTAATATTATATGTATATGTTATCATCTTTCTTCATTTTATTTATTTATTTTTATCTTTACTTTTTCATTCTTTTATTTTCTTTATTTTATATTACTTTCTTTATTTCGTTCGTTTTTGTATTATTTATTTTCATTTTTCTAACACATTTTTGAATTTTAAAGGGTATTTTTTTGATCAATCAGAGGTAAGTAATCTAGATCGCTATTTTTACCTTTTAATTTAAAATTACAATTTTCTTAATTAAAGACGACTGGAAATTACATAGTACCGAAAGGGCAGTTCAAGGGTGCTAACCCTTCTTGATTGTAACCGGCTTCCGAATCCGACATATCACTGGTAAGAAGCGGATCAGGTAAGAAATAAGGTATCCAATCAACCCGTTTTATTTTTAAAATAAATGATCGGTGGCGACTCCAATCCATTTGCCTAAGTCGAAGCCCAATTCCGGGCCCAACCGAAAGACGGTTCCGACAGTCTATTTATCAATTAATCTGAATCGAATGTTATAAAGTTTTATTAATGAAATGATTCTTTAAATTCAGTCTCTTTCGTTCATGATATATGTGTTCAAATTTCTTAACTTATTTAAGAGGCATAATTAGGGATGTGTATGGGTCGGTTCAGGTTTTCAGGCAATCCAACTCGACTCAAAAAAAAAATTACCCACTACTTGAAACCCGATTCAACCTGAGTTTAGGATAACTTCACTCGACACGACACGACATAAATAATATAAAGAGAAATATTATTGTAATTATTCCTAAATATATAAGGTATAATTATAGTATTTTTTTAGGTTGTGTCGGATATTTTTCACATTAAACCCAAACCTGACCTGGCCTAAATTAATCCTCAAAACAAAAATTGAATTGTCCCAATCCGAACACGATTTAAAAAAATCTAATGACTCAATCGGGTCATAACCATCAGTTTGAGTCTCGTATCCATCCCTAGAAATAATGTTTCATCTCACTAAATAACCTGGTAATTAATTCTTTTATTTATTTATATACAATATTTTAAAAAAAATATTTTGTATGTTTATTTTATAATTCATATTTATAATTTATAATTATCTCTCTAAATAACATCCATCTTTAAAAATTGATGCAATAAAATCTTATCATATTGACTTGTTCATGATCATTAATTAGTATAATATTAAAAATATTTTTGGGATTAAAATAATATTAAAGATGACAGGGATGAAGATATGGGTTGGATTCAGTCAGTGGTGTATGGAATTAATTCAGTTGATCATCTGTTCAAAGTTGGAGATTATTTTATTTTTCATTTCTTTAATAAAAAGCAAAGAAAGTGGGTCCAGGTGGATTTTGGCTGGCTGATTACTGTTTTGGATATTATAATAATACCATAAATTTAATATATTTTAAAGAGAAAATAATCTCAGTGACAAAAAATGTCTTATAATATACGATTTTAACCATTTTTTTTTGGATTTGTCAAAATGACCAATTAAATCGTAATGCGATAGATAATTCGCAACGCGATCTCCGGTATCGCAAATCAGTTTCCAGATTCGCAACGCGAACTTCGACTATCGCATTGCGATTTACATATTCGCATTGCGATAGTCCAAGTTCGCATTGCGATAGTCCAAGCTCGCATTGCGATAGTCGAAGTTCGCGTTAAGAATCTGGAAACTGATTTGCGATACCGGAGATCGCGTTGCGAATTATCATTCGCATTGCGATTTAGTTGGTCATTTTGGCAAATCCAAAAAAAATTAGTTAAAATCGTATATTATAAGGCATTTTTAGTCACTGAGGTAATTTTTTCTATTTTAAATATTTTAATTCAATTATGAGATAATAATTATATTAATTCTTACTGTACATATCAAATTAAAAATTAAATTAAACGTTAAGTACTATTTAAAAAAATGAGTATTAAAATAAAATATAAGTTAAACTTTAGATAAACTACATATTAAATATATAAATTATCATTTTTATTCTATTTTAATACTTAAATTTTTTTTTAAATATACATAACTTTTAGTATATGTTTATTTTGGTATATTACTGTTAAAAATTTAATACTGATATTGACGTGACATCATAAGATAATATAATTTAATCATTAAAAAATAAAAAATACGTACTATAGTTATGTTAAGTTTTATTGATGGTTAACAAAATAAAATCTATAATAAATATTTAAATATGATTTTGAAAAAAATAAAATTTAGATATAAAATCAAATAAAAGTGTTGTTTTAAGTATTAAACGTATAATCTCCCCTTAATATATACATAGAGACAACAGTCAATCAAACAAACAAAAGAACCCCACATAAAGCTCTTTGGGGTTGATGATGAATCAACCCTTTTTTCCAGAAACCCCCCCCCCCACACACACATGGAACTTTCATATTCTCAAAGCAACAAGCTTCACAACCACCGTCATCATCTTCTTCATCTTACAACCGCCGCAGCGCCTCCTCTTGCTTCTTCCTCCTCTTCTTCTTCAGCTTCCACTGTTCAAACCAATGCACATTAGCTCGTTGATGTCTCCCTTGCTATTGCCACTGGATCTACGACGACGACGACGACGAGCACCATCATAGCGAATCCGCCGGTGAAACGTTCCACCAAGGACCGGCATACCAAAGTTGACGGTCGGGGGCGGCGTATACGAATGCCTGCGGCCTGTGCGGCTAGAGTTTTTCAACTGACTAGAGAGTTAGGTCATAAATCGGATGGCGAAACGATTGAGTGGCTTTTACCACAGGCTGAACCGGCTATCATAGAAGCCACCGGGACTGGTACAATACCGGCGAATTTTTCGACGCTTAACGTTTCGTTAAGGAGGGATGGCTCGACGCTTTCGGCTCCGCCGTCGAAGTCGGCTCCTCACTTGTTCCATGGCGCTTTAGCTTTAGCTTCAGCTTCTCATGAATCTCATCATAATTCATATGGAGAAGGTTTGGCTCATAGTGCTTCGTTGGGTTATCACCACCATCATCAGCAGATTTTAACGGCATATCAAATGGCCGACACTTTACCCGGAGGTGGTGCTGATGGTGGTGGAGGCGGCGGAGATAGTGGGAATTCTTCAAGTGAGAATTATATAAAGAGACGTTTTAGAGAGGACTTGTTTAAGGAAGATAACCAGCCACGAGGCGAAACTGGTAGCAGCCTCGGAAACGGTGACGGTGACCGTAACGGAATGTCAACTAAGCCTTTTAAAAGAGGTTTAAGTACTCAATTGCCTGAACCACCGTCAAACATCTTGCCCGCCACTGCCATGTGGGCAGTTGCACCAGCTCCCGCTACTGGAACTACGCACGATTTGGATGCTTCCTGTCACCAGCAGTTCCGCAGCATCCGGGGCCGGACCATCCGAGCCCTAGATGTGGACTTTCGGAACAACAAGTGGGAATACATTGCAAGCACCTTTACATTTCGTACCCAGATTTAATCTCCAAGGAAACGTCGAATTCCAAGGTGGAAGAGCCAGTCCATTGCAATTGGGTTCCATGCACTACAGCAAAATTGATATGTAGCGGCGTTTTTAGCGGCGTTTGGAGAAGAAACGCCACAAAAGTTAAACATATAACAGCGTTTCCAATCGTAGCGCCATAAATTGATACTTTAGCGGCGTTTTTAGTACAAACGCTGCAATAGAGTTGACATATAGCGGTGGTGTTTTTACAAAAAATGCCGCAATAGGGTGGTAAATTAGCGGCGTTTATACCACAAACGCCACAATAGAGTATAAATTTTGCGGCGATTGAGCCAAAACGCCGCAATAGAGTGGTAAATTCGTGGCGTTTATACCACAAACGCCGCAATATATTACACATATAGTGTCGTTTATTCCTCAAACGCCGCAATAGTGATAATCAATAGTGGTGTTTTTAGACAAACGCCATAATAGTGTTAATCAATAATGGCGTTTTTAGAAAAACGCCGCAATAGTGATAATCAATAGTGGCGTTTTTTAACAAACGCCAGAATAGTGTAATCAATAGTGGCGTTTTTTTGTATAAACGCCGCAAAATGTTAAATATATAGTCCTCATTTTCTCTTACCCAAACCCTAAAATCATTTAAACTCTTCTTCCCTCAAAGATTCTTCTCTGGTACAACAACAACTCTCAAACGATTTCAAGTGACGTCGTCATTTGTATGTCCCGTCGACCAAATTGGGCCTCTCACCGACGTACTATAACACAATTGCACGGTTTGATCCATATAGAGTTTACAAGGACGAAAAACTTAACGATGCGTCGTCAAACAAAGAAAACAACTTTCCTACATCCTTTCCCCACGAATGACCAAAACTAAATTCTACTGAACAATATAGCGAAGACTGTTTATACATAGCTTTAATGTTTCTAAATTGTAATGTATTATGTTGTTAAGCATTTTTATGCATACCTTATGTCTTAATTCAAATGTATGGTTGTTGTTACTTATATAAAGCTACATATATCAGTGAATTTAGTAGATGTAGAGCAGAAATGATTAGTTGTAAAATGAACTAATATTATGTAAATTAAATGTTATTAGCGACGTTTTTGATAGATTTACTTTTGCGGTATTTGTATCCAAAAATGCCGATAAAGAATAATATTTTAGTGGCGTTTTTTGATACAAACGCCGCAATAGAGTTATTATTAGGTGGCTTTTTTAATCACCTCAATAGAATAGTTCCTTAGTGGCGTTTTCATAAAAAAATGCAGCAATAAAATAGTTCCTTTGCGGCGTTTTTATTAAAAACGCCGCAATATTCTGATATATAGTGGCATTTGTATAAAAACGCCAGTATTGACATGTACAAACGCGGCGTTTATGTTAAAAGCGCAGCCATTACATGATACAGTAGCGGCGTTTGTATAAACAAACGCCGCAATAGTTAAACAATTTAATACCCATCATTCCAAATCCCTAATTTTCGTACCCATTTACTGAATATCGTTCATAACATTCTCTACCAGCGCAAACTTCTCCACCAGTGCAACCACCACCAGCGCAGCCTCACGTTGTCGTTGACCTTGCGTCCTTGACAACCCTTCTCCAATTTGCGTCCTACCAAAAGTTTCTCCACCAACGCAGCCTCAGAATCGAAACGGTTAGTCAACCTTGAACCATCGATCGACCGAATTAAGGGTTGATTGATTTTTATTTGTTTCAAATTTTATGACAATTGAGTTTTGTAGTTGGAGATTGAATACCTGCATTTGTTCAAAAAAAAATTATTCTTGCCCTCGTTCAAAACATATTAGGTTTCTTGTAAATTCAAAAACTTTACAAATGTAAGAAAACAACTGAAAATTACAGAATAATTCTAATATTTCAAGTTCAAAACTTCACAAAAAACATGAAGTTACAGAGAATAAAACAGAGATATTAGTAACATCAGCAGTAAAAGTAGTTAATGTTCAGCAAAGTTGCTACAATTAAACATTGTTACTGTTAGCATGAAAAAACCACAGGAGTATACACAATTTTGAAAGGAAATGTACAGATAAAAATTTGATGACATCACTGAAATCATTAAATAAATAAAATGGCGTTTCTTTAAAAACAAAGAGAGAAGATCAAACCTTTGCCTCACTTTAGCATGTTGAACCAGTTTCATTATATGTTGTGAATTGTGTACAAAGAATTCAGCCGTGTGTGGAGGGGGTCTAAATCCCCAATCTGAAACTTGGATAAAAGCTTGGTAAGTGACATGTACCTTAGGAGTATGGAGTAATGTGGTAGATAAGTATAGGACTTAAGTGTTATATTGTATAAATTGTAGTTTGCACAATGTTATATGTTTTAGTGTCAAGTATTCTATTTAAAATTTAGAGTTTATGATTTTAGGGTTTAAGGTTTAAATTTTAGGTTTTAGAATTTAAAGTTTTATATTGTAGTGTTTAGCATTAAAATAGACATATTATATAAATTATTTGTTACACAATATGTATATCAAATACTTTCTCTAAATTAAGACTCGATATGTCATTCAAATACAAAAAAAAAATCAAATTTATTCAGTAAGAGTCTTTAGAATTTATTTAGCAATCTCAGTTAGAAATTGAGAAATCTTGTTAACTAGAAATCTTTGTACGGAAGAAGGAAAAGAGGGGTGGGGGTGAGAATCTGGAGCCTAGACAGTGAGAGCCTATATCGTGTTTGTATATGATCTAATTACTTTTCAATCTCAATACTTTTAAAAGCTCTTATTGAATTGTTGAGTGAATGTAATGTTTGTGTTAATTCAAATCAGTATAAAAGTCTAGTCTCCATAATGGTCCGTTCATATGTTCTGTTTTTGTTAACATTTATGTAATTATCTGTTTCTTTTTACCTTTTTAACTTGCGGTTGGGTTGATAAAAGCGTGTGTCTTGATTAGTTATTCATTGGTTTGGTATGCTTCAGTTTGTATTTATACACTTTTGAAGCAACGAAAATAAGGTAGAAGTATTTCTACTTTGTGTAATGTGGTACTATATAAAAGCCATTAACTTTTCTAACATGCTTATAAAAAATATTTCTTCCTAATTTATATAGGAGATCTTCTTGTCCAGTTTAAGTGCTTTGTAGCCTGAACTTTGCATTACTGCAGCATATGGGAATATTTTACCCACCAAGTTTTTCAACATTCCACCATTAGGTTAGTCCATGATATTTTTGTTAATGGATTTGGAGTTTAATGTTTCTGCTTGTTTTCCATGTCTATGTTTGTGCTTGTCTAATGTTTATTCTCCAGTCAACAAACACTGCAACTATTTTTTCTTTGAATGTATAGTAGTAATGTTATCTTTATTGATTCAACTTTCCATAAATGCTAGACTTCTAGTTTCTTTCATAAAAGATTGTTTCTAGTTTTGTTGACTTGAACTTGTGAAGCATCTACCACTTAGCAGGGAGGTTTTTCATTGTAGTTGGTGTCTTAACTATGCCAACTATATGTATTGTCAGATATTTGCATTATTAAAAATCTTTTGGTATTAAGAACAATGATATTGTTAAGGATAAAGGATGTGATATCTTACTTGAGAAGTTGCAACGCATCCTTCTGTCTTCTCAGGAACAGTCAACAAACACCCAAGTCTACTACCTTCGTACCGTCGTGCTGCCCCTGTTCAAAGATCACTTCAGGTTCCTCGCTATAAATTTCATTGTAATTATGAGTGCATATAATATTTTCATGGAAGTTTATCAATATTTCTCTTGTCATGGAAGTTTATATTTTCTTGATTACATTTGATACCTTGGTAGTACTTAAGACACTTATACAAACCTATGTTCAATGTTAGTTTATGATTGATCATCAATAGAAGTACGTTAAAGTTTAATTTTTCCTAGAAATGTTGTTTGGGAATTTGCTTTGATTTTAGTAGAGGAGACATTGGGAGATAAAGACAAAACGACTGTAGCATCCATTGAATTCCTCGCAATACCTCTCATCATTTGCAAATTACTTGCTAACTCTTAGGCATTTTCCTTATTATTATGTCAAACAAGACAATAATGAATCAATAAGTGATCAATCTAAATTAGTAGGATACTTTATTTTACATATTGTTTCTTGCATGAATATAGGGCTTTGATGGAGGAGATGCTTGAGTGTATGTGTGGGGAGAGATTTGGGGGTTCATTATGTGAATTTTTAAATTGAATTCTTCATGTTATAAATTACTTTAAATTGAAATATTGAAAAGTTGTCGAGTCAGAAAAAGATGCTAAATAAGTTTAAGATTTAAGTCTAACATAAACCAGAAATTACAATATTCCTCTAGTGTCAATTTATTATGATGTGAAATTAAATGTAATGCTTCTGTTTAGGTTCTAAATTTATCTATAATATTAGCAATTAACATTTGAATTTGAATTAAATTGAAGTACTGAAGAGCCAAATGGAGAAGCGGCAAAGTTTTACAAGTTGCTGAATGAAATGAATGAACAACTTTATGAGGGATCAAAGTTTTCAAAGCTAATAAGAACTTTGGTTTCAAGTTTAAACAAAAAAAAACCCATTGATTTAAGTTGAATAGCTAATATAACATGGTGTTTAATTTTTTTCCATTCCACAGGATATATACTACAAATTAGAGACAATAACATTTATATTTCGTTCTAAGTTCTTAATGCCTCTCTCTGTAACAAAGAAACATGAGTCTGTTTAGATGTAAATGCTACATTTCGATGAAACATGTGTAAATATTTAGTTCTATAGTATGCAATTGTATATAATTCTCGTTATAATTTTTATAAATTAACTGAGATACATTTGCTCCCATATATTTAGTTCAATTTAAAAGTTGTATAATTTACGAGTGATTAGTTTTATACTATGCAAATATTATTATGCACTAAATATGATAATTTAATGCTTCTGTTTAGGTTCTAATTTTATCTATATTATTAGCAATTAACATTTGAAATTGAAACTCCAGAAATACAAAATGGATAAGAGTTGGA